ATTAGAATCGGTCTACGAATCTCTTTATCACACTTTCATACGAACTGAAAGTCACCTCAACAACGGATTTTTTCACATGTATTTGATTAAACAGAATTTTTGACTAAGCTATTTTTTAACTTACTTCGTTTGGATTATGGTCTTTGTCACTTATTTTTCTAGCTACAGGAAATCCTCTTTAGGCTTGCTCACCTTATCGTCCATTAACTATTTTCTGAAAGATTTAATCGTGAATAACCTACTAGGATATACTATATTGAAAAAAGAATTGCTGGACATAGTTGCGCCTATTCTCACAAAATTGATACCTCACACAACTCTGCTGCAAAAAGTGTTTTGTTTCTTTCTAATGCTAATACTTTTGTTGTTCCGGTTACTTCCTTTATGAACTTTGAGCATTGTTCATGATAGGCTTCCCTTCAGTACTGTCCAAATAAATTGTCTCTTTTCCTCAGCTTACAGGCGTTTGTTATTCTATGACATAAAATTTTGGTACTCTTTTATGACCATGTGTTTTTTTAGATTTACATTACTCATTATCAAAGGGTAGATTCAAAACTCTATGAAAATGCTTAATGGCTGGATTAAGTTTGCCTATCTCGAAGTATTGCTGATAGCTTTTAGCCTTGAGTTTATAATGTGATAAGTTGGTTGCTTGCTCTCGCAAGTTTATATCTCCATTAAATGTCGTTGGACTTAAGGACGTAGATAGTGTCTAGTTCTTTTTACATGTTTTTTCTCTAGCCATTATATGTCGAAATTTCGACCCCGATCTCATATACAAACACGAGTTTTAGGCTGCATGTTTGAAGTCTAAAATGGATTAATAATTCATGTTGGCAAAACAAGGTATCTCATGCATACATGCTACCAAACCATCTTGGAACAGATTTTCACACTAGGCAGAAATCCCATTAAATCCAATGTGTTATTTGTAATGGAAACTATTATCTCTGATTAAAATAATTTAGGTTATGCAATCAAAATCAAGCTCGGGTGACTTCAGTTCTTATTCGAGATTTGGTAATTTTAAAGACTTATTCATTACAAATGCAAGTAAACTTGTCGATTTTAACGACGGATACAAGCTTGCTTCATTGACAATTTTAGTATAGGAAAGGTCTGGCTTGTCTTTAAAGTCTCGTCTTCCCTGTAACCCATTTGCAATCGCTGAAGTGTAGCGTGGTGGTAACTCGTCGAAAACAACCACTTTATCACTTGGGTTCGATTCCCGCCTTGGGTGCTGATGAGACCCAATAAAGGTCGAACTTCAGTCCATCCTGGATAATACTAGCTTTTGGAACATACGGTAAAAATAATAATTGAATGACATCGTGAGGCTTATTAGAATTATTATTGGAAAATTCTCCATCTTAAGTGATCTAGGATAATTTTTGTTCTTATTCAAGTTCTACATATAGTATTAAAAATCCACTCATTACGAGTATATCAAATCTCTGCCAATCTTGGCTTGCACCTAATATTGTTATATAATGATTATTTCTACTTATCAATGCTTGCGATTTCTTATCTGTTTATACTGTGTAGTAAACTAATTGTAAGAATCACCCTATAAGTCTCGAATGCTCTGGGATATTGCTGTCTTCATTGCTATTTGAAGATTACTTTTCCTATCCCATATTGAATTGCATTAAATAAACTTTGAAAGTGGTCGACATAGCCGTTAGCTTTGTGATTATATGTAATACTCTATACTTTATGTTGTACTTTTCCTTTCTTCTAAAAAGGCATATGGGCAAGATCCATTTTAAACGAACTTAAAGTTAAAGAAATATGAAGTTGTTATATAAGTATTTAATATTCAGTTTTAATTTATATATAAGAAGTATTCAGCACTGAAAAAGATTTTACTTGTGAATCATGAAATCTTTTAGTCTTAACTTAACAATAATTAATTTATCTAATTTTCAGCTCTAATCAATATACCTTGGATTATTTATTCGTTGTCTTCATTTTTCTCCCATTTCCTGCATTTTTCAGGAGTATGGCATCACAAAAGAGGAAAAACTGGTGATCGGCCAGCGCATTTGCACTCCATTGATGCGTAAGATTCTATCTGACGCAAGGTATACAGATGTTGACGAATGTACTCGCCTCCATGCTGGGTAAGTTGTTTCATATGAAATTCCCGTCATCAAAACTTTTTTATCGATTGCGTTTCCATTTTACTCTTAACTCACCCTTAAACTTGCTTTCTACACTTATCCAGCAGCATTACCACTTTTAATTTCCCATCCGCTTATATTCGATTTCAGAAATTTTCACTCCATCCTGCCCTTGACACAATTCCCTCCTTTCCATCATTCCCATTTTTAACATATTTACACCTTCAGTCACATCTTTTGCTTACTTCTTCTAGACACTGAAATTGTACCATTATAATATTGCTTCACTTTTGAAATCTTACGCTCCGTGTGTACCTAAGATATAGGGGTGGTGGTTGACGGCGTAATGTATTTATGATTTGTTTAATTTTGCCTACTGGCATTTATCCCATTTATTAGCTATATATCTAATTCTTCGACAATATGATTGATGCTTCTAGTCGTGTAATATGGAGAAATTTGAGTCTGCCTTATTCGTGCACAGTACATGTTCAAATTAATTCTTCTTGAAGCATTCATAAATTTTAAGATTGGCTCTTTTTTATTTTTGAATTGTATATTAAAAATCTTAACTTAACTTAGTTGGCGAGACTTGAGTGAACAAACTTAATAGGAATATATCTTAAAAGGAACATCAGACTTCACATTTTTAATAAATTTGATCTTTCTGTCTCCAAGTATAGAGTGAACAAATGAGTGATCCTTCCGATCGCGAAATCCACATGCAGGCCCTATTATGTGAATTTTCCTTCAATAATTTTCTTCGTAGATTATGATACTCGCAGGGGTCATTAATTATGTGACCGAAGATTTATTTTTTCCTAATATTAAGACATTATTTGAGAGATATCGAGGACTTACTCGGCATGGCTCTTGGATTACTGCCCATATCCGAGACAAGTTAGGACTTCCAACTTCATACTCTATAAGCCTTTTTGTTAAATTTCAGTCCGTTTATTTATATTGCATTACTTAATGATTTTCATACTATCAGAAAATGGTATTTCAAAATACTTTCTCAGAAGCAGCTTTACTTTTATATCGTTTGGCCCGTTTTATTTTACGACCATCTCTTAACAAATACTTTTTTCGTTGTGCATTGTGCAACTCTTTTGTGAATGCCTTTTGCTCATATGCACACACACACACACACACGAGTTATTTCTAACAATATAAAAAACACAGGATTTAAGGCAGCTATGGAACTTTAAGTTTAAAATGTCTTTACAACTCATTTCATCACATTTTCTAACTCAATACTCTCGAGTCTGTCTAAAGGACAATTTTCTTGTGCTTTACTTATTTATGGTTATATATGCAAATATATATATATATATATGTATATATGCATATATGAATAAATATTTATAATTTTTAATAAGGCCTTACCACAAGGCCAAAGAACCGTCACTTTATTTGTTCACGTGTTTGCTTGGCTAAATACAAAGTCATAAGATGATCACTAAAAGGGCCTTAATTTCATAAAATACCACAGCAAATTATGACACTACGGCCAGCCATATTTATCCATATTCTCCAGATTCATTATAGTAGTTCACTAGCACTTTTAATTTCTGTTTAGATTGGCCGGCTATTGACTTCTCAAAAGAGACCATTAATTCGGGCTTCTGCTTGTTGTACACAAATATTTAGAAAATCGTATTGGAATTCAAAGTATTTTTTTGCTTTTTAACTATTGAAGACGTAAGTAAATAAGGCATACCCTAATTCGAAACGTTTAGTTTCTCTTAAATTTAATGAGGTGAGTTAATTAAATGATCCACTTTTG